TCTCTCTCTCTCTCTCTCTCTCTCTCTCTCTCTCTCTCTCTCTCTCTCTGTGTGTGTGTGTGTATGTGTGTATTTGTGTGGCTATAGACTGTAAAAATTTCTTTTTCTTAAACTAATATTGAGACTGGATATCAGCTTGCACCTAAAATAGTGAAAAAATTACCATATACAAAACATTTCATTTATCCAAAAGTAATTCACGTCTAAATTTCCTCCAGTTTCTCTTAAAAAGTTAAAGAGCAAGAGTTTGTGTTTTGGCCTGAAGAGGGCATCCCTGCTAGTAACATGAGTTGCATCGAGGTAGTTTAACTGCTTTAGAACTTTGTGCTCGGAACATTCTTAGCTGCCAAAGCATGGGCACCAAAAGTGAGGCGCATGGGTTCTTTAGTATCTGTCACATCAGAGAATGACAGTTCCAGGACGGTGACCCCCTCCTGATGGTAAGTACCCCACGTGTTTGCCATTTCTAAGGTTCAAGAGAAGTAGGCTGGTTGTGATAGCAAGTGGTACTCTTAGAAATAAACAGAAGACATGCAAGTCCAGCTTTAACCCTCAATGATGGTCATTTTTTCAGGTTTCTGTAGCTGGAGCAGGCACGGGAAGAGGCTCCCCAGCTGTGACTCTAGTACAGTTACCTTCAGGCCAGACTGTGCAGGTCCAGGGAGTAATTCAGACACCACAAGTACAAACTGTGCAGGTTAGCTTCCTTCCTTGGCAACCTGTCTTTGACTTTCTGGAGCTTTAAAATTTCTTCTTTTATTTAATTCATTTATCATCATCTTTCTTTATTTTATTCTTTTGGAGATAAGGTCTCACTATGTAACTAAGGCTAGCTTTGAACTCTCATCCTCCTCCTCAGTCTTTCAAATCATGGGACTACAGGCAAGTGCCACCACACTGTCTCTTTGTGTAACTTTACATTCAAGACATCTTCTTGGATACTTGAAAGAATTTCTTTTTATGTGTGGTACATTGTCGCTCTTAATTTACATGATGAATAATTGCTAGTTAAGCAATTTTATCTTTTAACTTCTTGTTTCCAGACTTATATTTATTTAGCAAAGCTCTCTAGTGGTATTTCGAGGGTTCTTGGGAGACATTGTACTAAACATAGTACTATGAAAACTATAGTTCTGGCTATAGTTTGAACTCACTATGTAAGCCAGCAGACCTCCTGCCTCAGCCTCCCGAGTGCATCATTGCACTTGGCCCAGATATTTATTTTACATTTAGTGAATGCAACCCTTAGAAGTCAGGATATTACTATTTATTTATATTGGTGCTGGGACTTAAACTCCAGATCTTCATTCATGCTAAGCTCATGCTCTAGCATTATTGTACCCCAGTCTCAAAGTCGGGTCCTCATCACGTGGGCACTTTATTTCCATGTTGTGGGATTGCGATCAGATACTTGTTATACTACTTATTATTACCAGAATGATCACAGATCCTAAATTATTGAAAATAGTTTTTTCTATTAATAGATGTAAATTATTATATATGCACTTTATAGCATACTTATCTACTGAGCTGATTTCTGTTTCTTTCTTAGGTCACGTTGTTATTATTCCTTAAGTGTAGAAGTTATTTGAACCTAACTGGTGACAGTCAAGCCTCAAGTCTGTGAGGAAAAGAGACATGCATATATACTTAATCTTGCCTTTGCCTGCATGCCCAAGTGTAGTTTATCACAGAACGCTGTGAAGACCACAGTACAGTGTCACGATAAATACGCACGCTTCCTAAGCTCGCTGTCCTTTCAGAACAGCCTGTCTGTTCTTTGTTCTCAGGATGTAAAATAATTCCTATCATTGTCTTTAATTTTGTGACCTTTGATTCCAAGAATTTGTAATTTCTGATCCAAATTATAAAGTAAGAACATTTTCCCTTGTTACTCCTTACATTATGGCTTTTGTTGGAGGTACGAGTTTTACCTTATAAGCATTGCCTTATGTTCTGATACTTCATTATTGCTGTTGTTTTTAGTGAATGAAATCACTTGTCTTTGTAGAGATAAATCCTCATAGATCTTACCTTTGAATTTCTGTGTTTTAAGTGACAATCATTCTGCCGGAACTTTAAATTTCTTAATGTTTTTACTAGTGTATATTAGTTATATGAATAGTGGTTTCATTCATTATGACATTTCTTAATGTATTTTGTTCATATTCATGTCAACTTTTCTATTTCTTTCTCTTTTTTCTGTTTTTTTTTTTTTTTTGAGACAGGGTTTCTCTGTGTAGCCCTGTCTATCCTAGAATTTGGTCTGTAGACCAGGCCGGCCTCACACTCACAGATATCTACCTGCCTCTGCCTCCCGAGTGCTGAGATTGAAGGCGTGTACCACCAGTCATCTAGTCTTTTCTAAACTGGGTAAAATACTGGCCACCACTGCACACGGGGGGCGTGCGGTAGTCTAGGACAGCTGTGTGAAGTGTATTGCCTACCACCATATAGGGCAACATGTTTCCTCAATAAGTTGTGTTCTTTGTGTGTGTGTGTTTGTGTATTGTATCATGACCAGAAGTGTCTTATTTGTGGATGAATATATATATGTGTGTGTGTGTGTGTGTGTGTGTGTGTGTGTGTGTGTGTGTGTACACAATACACACCTGTCTATATGCATTGAAGACTATATATTCCTTCTATTAAACTCAGAAATGAATTTTTAATATATTTTTATTTGGCAAGCAATTTTTATCAATTTGCTCTGAACAACATTTTGTTTTGAAGTATATATATATATATATATATATATATATATATATATAGTGGCATGACTTGGTGGCTAGTTAAAATGTATATTACTTTATGTCATTTTTTTCATACTGGAAATACTTTAAATCTGCTAATTCTACACAAACTTGAAATTTTCAACAGAAAAATATACCAATGCTCTTCTTCCTCCTTCTTGGCACTTTTTATAGAGAAGATTTTTGAAGCTCAAACTGGCTTCAAACTCAGTGTCTCTAAGGATGACCTTGAATTTTATACATTCCCGTTTCTATCTTCAAATACTGGGTTTATGGTCATACACCACCACACCAGGTTTTATGTGGTGTTGGGGTTCAAACACATGTCTTCCTGCATAATACACTGAACCATGATCCCCCCAGATCCACACTGTTCTTAACTGAGTCACCATGTTGTAGAGCAGAAACTACATGGTCTTACTTTTGTTCTTGATACTTTTAGTTTTCCTGCACATCACATTCTCATGTAATCCTAATATGAAGTTTCATAAACTCACTCTCCTAAACCGTAGACTTAAGAGACTAAATAAATTGACAGAAGACACGTTTAAAGATTCATTATTTTAGTCTTCTCATTTTCTTTATTATATCATTGTATTGTTGCCTGGCTTAAAAATGAAATCATGCTGAAAACTCTGATGCTTTTATTTTTATCTGTCTCTCTGTCTGTATACCTATGTATCCATCTCCCACCCAGCCAATGTTTTATGTGGGTGTCTTTGGGTGCATTCCCTAATGTCTCCTTGGAGCCAGAGGACAACCAGTGGACACAGTTCTCTCTGTGGGTCTTGGGGCTGAACCAGGTTGTCAGGCTGAGAAGCAAGTGCTTTTATTCACTGAGCCCATCTTACTAGCCCTTTACATAGAAGTTTATTTTAACTTCAGGATCTTTAAACTCTAACATAATCTTTATAATATAAATCCTTCTCTTCATAAGCCCAGTTTACTGACTTGTTTAGTACATAAGTATTCATTCTTCTTTGGGCCTACCTAATCTCTGACTTTTATACTCAGCTTACACCAGTGGTAACGTGAAAACACTAAATTGGGTAGTTTTTCCACCTCTGTTATGGTCTCACTCTGTTATCTGGACTTACAAAAACAATTCAGGTTTGGAGTTTTGGGTCTGAAGTGTTTGATGTTTTCCCTTTCCTGTGAACCCTCACTTGGTATGCCAGATATTCTTTCCATTGAACTTATGTAGTATTTACAATCTGTACCATTCTTTGCTTTCCTTTTCACACAAGCACTAAACTGAATTCTACCAGTAGACTCTTAATACCATTTTTTTGAATGAGGATGAAGATCATATATTTTATGATGGGTTTCAGAAAATCTTGTATTATAGGTAGCAACAATTGCAGAGACAGATGATTCTGCAGAATCAGAAGTAATCGATTCTCATAAACGTAGAGAAATTCTTTCACGAAGACCCTCATATAGGTGAGTTAACTAACTTTCCTCCTGCAATGTTTTTACCCCAATAGGTACAATAATTATAGAGCAAAACAACTATTATTTATAGCTTTCCTGTTTCCTGTTTATTTTTATATCCTAATTGCTTATATTGTTAAATTATATTTTAGAAAAATACTGAATGAACTTTCCTCTGATGTGCCTGGTATCCCCAAGATTGAAGAAGAAAAATCAGAGGAAGAAGGAACACCACCTAACATTGCTACCATGGCAGTACCAACTAGCATATATCAGACTAGCACGGGGCAATACAGTATGTATGCTATGATTCCATAGACACAGTGCTAGCTTTAAGTCTTCCCTAGTTACAGTGAAGCAGCGTGGGCTTGGGCATCTGAATGCTTTAGTATCAGCTGTACACTGTTAACAACTGTGCCATAGAATAAAAAGTACATGTGAAAGCAGTAAGATATTTGTACTGGCAGCTGAAAAGTAAGTCTTTGTTGCTGGATATGAAAGATAAATGGTTAAAAGTTAAAGGGACGGTTTTCTATTTACGTTTTTATATTCATCTCAAGTAAAAGTTTTAAAGTTCCTGTTTTTGTTGTCTTCATGTTATAAATGTCTGTATTTCATTGTTGCTGGCTTTTGTTGCAATAGCTTATTACAATTAATCGGAAAAGGTAAATATGTTTTCTGAATTGTGTTTCAAATGTAATTTTGTTTTCATTACTCTGTTAATTTGTGCTGCAGTTTTTCTAAAAGTACAAAAATGATTTAACTTTCAAACTATAGCAGTTGGATAGATCATTTTATTTGGACTTTACTTACTGGAAGCTCTAATAAACAGATATATTGGCATTTTAATGGATTGTTACTTCTGTGCTTTTTGTTCTAACTAAAGCACTAATTATTTTCCCATTTTCCCGTGTCAAAGGACATTTGATAAACAAAAATAATGAACTGTGGGACCTAGAAAACAAAGTAAAGGAAAAGAAAGGAAGGCAGGGGAGCTGCTGCTTGATTACTTGGGGATTTGTGATGTTAAATACTGTGTCAAAATGCAAAGACTTTACATTTTCAGTTTTTCCTTTAAAAAAGTACTAATACCCCCAAAGCTTCAAGGCTTGGCTATTAAAACATGTTGTTATCTTCCTTTGTGTATGGAAAGCTCTTAGGAAGCTGTTAGGGTTTGTTGTTGTTTCTCCTGTGTTGATAGTTGTTTGCTATATTAAATTAAATCCCTTTGGTAGTTTTTGGTAGATTCCATCATGGCATCTGTCCGAGATGGGTGTAATTTATCCACACTCTGAACAGGATGTTACATGCACATGTTCAAAATGATTGTTTAGACAATTGCCATGACCTTTTGTCTCCATCTTTGTTTCTTTGGTCCACTGGGATGGTGTAGTGCGTGCTCCAGAACTGAAAACCAGTGCTTGTCAGCTTTGTGCCTCTGTAGTACAATCCCAGGTTCCAGGAGGGCAGAGCTCCCCAGCCCGGGAGGCTAGAACCTCCTGACTGAGTCCCAACCTTGTGGGACTGTTCACATTGTTTTCTGTTTGTGCCATGACAGGGAAAGGTTGGTGATCACTACTGAAAGAATGTTAAGGCTTCTTAAAGTTTTAGGGATGAGCTAAGAGGCTGTAATCTTGGCATTTCTCTAGCAAAGCCCAAAACTACATAGGACTTATCATGACAGCAGTGATCTAGCTACATGGAGTAGGGAAGTTGATGCTGTGGGTTAATTTCCTTAGATTATCACTACAAAATGTGACATAGTGAAATGAAAACTAAAAGAATGTTGAAGCTCGAGAGAATGTGCTGAAGGACGCTGGCGTCAGGATTACTTCACTCAATGATCAGGTCAAGAGGCACCTCAGATTTTAGTCTTTGAGGTGGGAATAAGTTCAATGGTCAAACCATGGGTCTTGTGTGAAGACCAAAGAAAAGAATAGGTCAAACTGGGGAGAAAAAGATGAGCAAACATTGGGATGAGACAAAGAAGTGTAGATTAGTTGAGAGAGTCTCCATGCTCATTGAAGCCTGCTTTCAAGGAGTTTCTGAGCCCTGACTCCTGTGCTCCTGGCACCAGCTTCCACACTGGGCATGTAAGCTCACTGTTTGTAAGATGCAGGGTGGGGGATGAACCAGGAGGTCCAAGTAAAACTAGACAGCCACTTGGTTTGTTCAGAGAAGTTCAGCGTTTGTTTGTCCCACAAGAATAATTTCTATTCGTCAATTAGAAAATATTTATATTTATTTTATACCTTTATATACATATAAAATCCACTGTAAAATCATATTTCTTAGTAAGTAAAATTGTGTGTGTTTTTATGTTATATATAAATATTTAAGAGTATAGATAGTTGTTAGCATTCTTTGGCTTTTGGAATAGTTTGACTATAATTTCTGAATATTTTTCTGTGCATTGTTTTGAGTCACCCTCATAATCTTAATTGTGATATGAGTACTAAAATTGAGGAAATAAAATATATTTACTTAATTTCTCTCATGTATAAATAGTTACATTAAAATTATTCTGTATATGTGTACAGATACACATATCTATGTATATGTGTGCACATATGTGTATGCAGGTACACTTGCTTACACATGCAAGTATAAAAACTAGAGGCTGACATGGGATGTCTTCTTGTACAACTTCTTCACCTTGTGTTTTGAGTCAAGGTCTCATGTGGGCTCACTATTTTGTCAAAGCTTTCTGGCCAGTGAGCCCCTGGTACTCAGTCATCTCACTAACTGTTGAGGTGACAGATGCGCAGCACTGTGCCCAGCTTTCCCACGAGTGCTGGGCACTCAGGGCTGTCTGCACAGCAGTGCCTTTCCCACTGAGCCGTCTTCCTAGCCTCAAATCGTATTTTTAATAGTTGAGAGATGTTTGTTAGAAATTGATCTGACTGTTTTAGTTTCTTTTCCTGTTTTTGTTTTTCTCGTAGTTCTAGGGATTCATCTTGGACCTTGTACATGTTAGACAAGAGCTCTATCACTGAGCTGCATTCTTAGCTTCTGTTTACTATTTATCCCCAAAATAATTATTTTCACTAGGAACAGGAAAATAGGCAGACTTTAAAAATAGAACTTAAAATTTTTAAACTTTAAACAGAGAAAGGTTTATTGTTTCAGCACCAAATAAATAGCCATACCTGCAGAGACTCTGCCAGGCATACAGATCCTTGCAGTAGGTTTATTGTCTAATGGAGGAAGCCAGGGGTATGATTCACTGGGAGAACATTTAACCTGGTGTATGTGAGGCCTGGGCTCTACTCTCCAGCACCATGGTCAATTGGGTTGGAAAAGTTGTTCTACCTCAGGGGAAAGTCCTGAGATAAGATGGCATTTGAGAAAATGTTAGCAAAAAAATGTTACTTGCTGCATAAAACATTTAAAATATACAGTGAATTCATAAAGACAAGAGTGAAAAGAAAATTAAATGTCTTAAATTTAATTGGAATTTAAAAAATATTTATTTTATATGTGTGGGTTTGCATGAATGTATGTCTGTTCACCATGTGTATTCCTGGTGCCTGAGAAGGACAGAAGAGAGCATCCGATCCTCTGGGACTGGAGTTTGAGACAGTTATGAGTTGCCATGTGGATGCTAAGAGTCAAACCTGGGTCTTCTGTAAGAGGACCCAAGTACTCTTAACCACTGAGCCATCTCTCCAGCCCCAAATGATTGAATGTTTTTTTAATGCATTTTCTTCTCTGAGGAAAAATTAAACCCATACTCTGGTACACCAACCTCTTCCTTTCCCAGTGAAAGGCTGTCACCAAGGCTTCACACTATTCTTTCTAGATGTCCCATTTTTTTCTCTTCCACTATATTTTACTAAGAACCTTACTGGAGTTAGTCTCTGTGATTCATCCTTTCTGGATATGCAAGGTAAGTGGGTCAAACCAAAATCCACCTAAAAGAAAAGTATGTATATTTTTGACCGCTTAAAGAATCCAGAATTAAAATGCTTATTAGCATATATTAATTATATTTATTAATAGGTAATTATATATAATAATGAGTTTATTATGACATTTTTATACATGTACATATATATCATAAGAATTTGGAACCTTAGGATGCTCATATGAATTAACTTTTTCTTATAAAGGCAATTGGTTTGCACATTCTAAAGAAACTCTACTTGTATATTCTTAGCTGTGACATTGCTTACATCCTCCCAAGTTATTTTCAAAATGATTTATGTAGTTAATGTCATGTAAGTATGTGTTTTTAACCTTTGTGTTGCTCTTCTCGTGGTAACTGATTTATATTTTCTTGTTACCCTGGTTTTTAAGACACACAATTTATTGTCTCTCTCTCCTTATTTCCTCTCCTTCTGCCTCCATACCCAGTTCCAGCACTGAGCATCAAACAAAGGCCTTGTGCTTCATGCATTCTTCCCTGCCACTGGCCCACTCCTGCTATCCTGTTAAATAGTACTGCCATGCCGGATGTGGTGCACGCCTTTAACCCAGCACTCGAGGCAGAAATAGGTGCATCTCTGTGAGTTCGAGGCCAGCCTGGTCTACATAGTGAGTTACAGGATCGCTAGAGCTCTATAGTGAGACCCTGTCTCAAAAAGCCATTTTTTCTTTTTTTTCTTTTTCCTTCTTTTTCTCCTTCCCTTCCCCTTCTCTTCCTCCCTCCTTCCCTTCCTCCCTCCCTCCCTCCCCCCTTCCCTCCCTTCCTCCCTCCCTTCCTTGGTAGTGGAGCCAGGCATGGCAGCACAGCATAAGCATGCCTTGAATCCCAGCACTCAAGAGGCAGAGATGTATGTGGATCTCTGAGTTTGAGGCCAGCCTGACCTCTATAGTTTCAGGACAGTCAGGGCTACACAGAAAAATCCTGTATCAAAGAAAACAAAAACAAAAACCCAAACAAAACAAAGAAAAATATTAATGTTGTGAGATTTCAGTTTTGATTCTTCCAATTGCAGTTTGAAATTAGAGTAGTTTTGAATTACATCTACTTAAACATTTACATGCTTCTGCATTTGAATTACTTCTATGCACAAGTTTAGAATGAAAATATACATGAATCAAGTGAAGAGAGCTCAGATCTTTTTTTTTTAAAGTTGAGTGAATTCTGCTGATTTGCTCAGAAACTTTTCCAATTGTTTACATTTTTTTCCTTTTGAGACAAAGTCTCACTCACTATGTAGCCCTAGTTGACTCAATATGTAAACCAGGCTGGCCTAATCAGGCAGAGAAGAAGTCTGCCTGATTCTCTGCTTCCCAAGTGCACTATCATGCTTGGCCAGGTTTCCACTCTTTAAATTCATCTTTTCTGTCTTTATCAATTATATAGAACTTAAAATTTGCTTTTTGGGCTTGGGGACACATAACTCTGTTGGTTGAGTGCTTGCCTATTGTGCATGAAGCTCTGGTTATATCTCAGCTGTACATTCCACTGATCTGAGCACTTGGGAAGTGGAGGCAGGAGGCTCAGAAATCCAGGGTCATCAGCAGCTGCATATTAAGTTCAAGGCCATGCTGAGACGTGAGATCTTCTTCATCTCATAAATAATGTTATTCTTCCTTTAATAATAATAATTACTGTCATAGAATATTAAGTTATGCTAATAAGTAATGGAAGTAACAGATTTCTGTCATAGTTTTGTGTCCCAGAAATGTTTGGGGTTTATTTCTCTGGACAAGCAGATAAGTTTTATCATCCTATCTGGTATTGCCCATGGTGTGTGATGAATTGTGGAAAACCAGACTGGGGTTAATATTTACTTAAAACTAAATCTCTGACCTCATGAGAATGCGTATTAAAGATATTTTTATAACCATCTAAAATTAACTTGTAGATACATACTTAGTAAATAAATAAGTTGTATTTCATCTGGACAAACAGGCTTCATTTTGTTCTGGTGATACAAGTCTTCAACCAAAGCTGGCCTCAAACTTTGGATTCTTCTGCCTCATCCTCCGGAGTGCTGACAGCATAGGCAGGGTAATCCAAACTGTTTTTAAATTAAGGTCATTGTGTCCAACATTCAGTCAGTAAACACTGGATGGCCTTGTGTTATGGGTTATAAAAAGTTTAGCAAAAAAATGTTTATGTTGTTAGCAATTCAAACAGTGGTAGCTTATTCTGTTCTTCCTTTACTACTGTGAACTGAGAGCATAGTATCAAGTTGAGTCAGCTAAAAATGAAAATGTATAGTTTAGATGACTATAATGACAATTTTAATTAAATTTAACGAAACTTTAAAATGTTATTTTATATAATGTTATTAAGGATATAATAAGAAAATAAGTATGGCCTAAATTTAAAAGACACTGTTTCATTTGCTTGAATCTCAGTCCACATTCATGAACCAGTATGGACTATGCTTTTTTAACAGATATGTGTATGTAAGAGAAAGAAGCCTTATGCCTTTGTTGTATGAGTTACTTCAGGAAAACATTAAAAGGCTAGATCTGTTGGAGAGATGATGCCTCTGGGAGTACTTACAGCTTGTTCAAAGAACTGGACTCAGCTTCTAGCCCCCATCTTGGTCAGCCTACACCTGCCTGTAGCTCTACCTTCAGCCTATCTGACACCCTCATCTGGCATCTGAGGGAACACACACACATACACACACACACACACACACACACACACACACACACACACACACACTGGGTTCTCAGAGTGAATTGACTGGGAGATACAAAGGTATTTCATTTCACGATTGCTAGTGACCATTCAATTGTTGTGAATACTCAGATGTGCCCAGCCCCACAGTGACTCAAAAGGTGAATAGGCAGGGGAAATGGATGATAGAAATAGTTCTTCACAGCTGAGCAAGGTAGTGTATGCCTAGAATCCCAGCACGTAGGAGACAGAGGCAAGAGGATCAAGAGTTCAAGGTCATCTTCTGGTTCTAGGACGTGTGCTGCATGAGACCCCACCTCAAAACTCAAGACAACAAATACGTTTCTTTTTACTGTTGTATTTGCTGAAAGCTTTCTGTAATAGCTTTGCTATTTCAGCTCAGGGTCTCGTTGTTGTTTAGACCAGCCTGGAGTTCATGGCAATCTTTCTGTGTCTCCCAGAAGGCTAGGATTACAGGCACATGCCAGCATGCCTAGTTGATAAGTTTTGTTTGTTTTTAAAGGCTAAAATAAAATATATTTTTAAATTTATTCAGACATATTTTTCATACTTTTTAATCTTGATTGATGTTTATTGAAAGTAAGTTATTCTATCTTTGGATATTTTAGCTCCTTAGAAGTTTCTGCTTAAATCTGTTACTACAGATGGCCCATTTCCAGGATCTCTGAAACATTAAATTTTATTCTCCAACAGTAAATTCTCTTTTGGATGGGAAGAGCCTCTATCATTTCATAATGCCAAAATCAGAAACCCTGTCAGTATAAAATATGAATGGCTAATGAGAGAGATTTATCAGTGGAAATGTTTCTGGCATGGCAGTTTGTGTGCTGTGGGTGTGGGTGTAGTGTTTTCAGTTTTATTTATAAAATTATGTATTTCAATTTTAATTATATTTTGGTTTTACCAGAAAATAAAATGACAAACAGATCCTTAATATTATAATCTGTTCATATTATGAAAACAAAAATTTATGAGAAAAATTACTTTAAAAAATACTGAAAAGGAAGAAAGTAAAAAAATATAGGAAAAAAAAACCCAAAAGTAATTTGGTACTTATTTCAGTATTCTAATAACTGCTCCAAAAACCTGATATTGTATTGTTGAAAAATTAAGAAAAGAGAAAAATTCCATTTCTGTGATTGAAGTTTGAAACCTTCATTTAACTGAAATCTTCATTAAGTGAAACTTTCACTGAGAGTTACAACCAGCCCTCCCTCCCTCTTTCTCTCCCTCTCTCCTTCCCTTCTTCCCTCCCTCCCTCCGTTTCTGTGAGTGCTTGAGATTGTATCCTGTGCCCAGTGCATGATCTGAGCACGGACTCTGCCACTGAGCTTCAGACATCTCAACTCTTAAAACTGCCTTTCTTCTAACAGTAGATCAGAAATGTAGTTAGGTGATGTAAAGTACAGACTTAGTATAATTGCAGTGCCCAATGGAGATGTTACTGACCATTTCCTAATCCTCAGAATGTTGTTTATAACTAAAATGTGAAAGAATTTTTAATACTTGGGAGCTGGATTTTGCGTTTGCATGAACTGTTCTTCTGGAGGCCCGGCATTAGATTCCCAGCACCTGCATGGCATCTCACAATTATGTAACTCCAGTCCAGGGGCTCTAATGCCCCCTTCTGGCCCTTACAGACACCAGCAGTGCATGTGGTGCAAAACATACATGTAGGCAATGCATCCACACACATTAAAAAATAATGGAGTGGAATAGATACCTAGAAGGAAACTTTGTGAACTCTAGGAATAATAAAAAGACCTAAATAGAAAATACAGTCAACAGCAAAACCAAGATAAAATGATTTGTGTTCATAATCGTTTATAAAGTTCTCCCCACGATGAAGAAACTAATATTCCTTACTAGGCCCACTTAGGAAAGTAACAGTGGAAGTAGTGGTAGTATGTAGAATATATTCTCCCAATATGGGATTCCAATAACTCAGAATTCTCTAATATTTCTTCTTTCTTTCTATTAAGTTGCTATAGCCCAAGGTGGAACAATCCAGATTTCTAACCCAGGAACTGATGGTGTTCAGGGACTCCAGGCATTAACAATGACAAATTCAGGAGCTCCTCCGCCAGGTGCTACAATTGTACAGTATGCAGCACAATCAGCCGATGGCACACAGCAGTTCTTTGTCCCAGGCAGCCAGGTTGTTGTTCAAGGTATATTTTATTAATATAATACATATCGAATACCTGTGGGTTGCTGTCTCTCGCCTTGTAGTGTCTGTGTGCAGTGTTGTGAAATAAACGGGTAGATTTTTAGGAGGGATGGGAGACACACAAGTTCAAAGAAATACTTATACTAAAGAGAAGTTAAAGTATGGTTTTCACTGACTCTGAAGAGAGCATGATAAATGAGGCGAGATGGAAACAATGCATTTTTAAACTAAGTCAATATCTTTCATGTAGTGTCACATGCTATACCTAGTGTGTTGTTATTTTTTAATTTTGCTGTGCCTCTGTGTGTGTGTGTGTGTGTGTATGTGTGCGCACGTGCACGCAGTGTTCATGCCATTGCTTGTGTGTGGAGGTCAGAGGACAGCTTTGTGGAGTCAGTTACTTCTCACAGTTTATGTGGGTTCTGGAGATGAGACTCAGAATACCAGGTTCGTGCAGAAAAATCCTTTACCGACAGAGCCATCTCCCTGCCCTCCAGTATGTTTCTATTAGTCTTTATGTGGGTATTTGTGTTTATAGCCAGTGATGTCTTAAACTTGTTCTTTTTTGCTACCTTATTTTTCCAAGATTAATTTTTATGTAACTCATTTTAAAACAAATGAAGATGTTCATATCTTTAAGACTCTTCTTAGTATTTAAGGTCCTCATTCTAGGTCTTTGAACAAAGCCTGTAGTGAAGTAAAATAGGAGGTAGCCGTAAGCTTTTAGCATTGCCTGTAAGTTGAGTTAAAACTGGGTTATACATTTTTTTTTAATTTCATTCAACTGTGCTTATAACCATAAAGCATGTATTTAATACAACTTAAAAATCATGTTTTTATTCTTGTCTTTTGGTGGGTCTGTTTGTTTAGAATTCACCACACTAACTTTAAGGAAAGTAATATCTGCTCTTTTATTTTGAGTGTCTTGGAAATACGGTCCAGCTGACCTAGAACTTGAAGATGTTCCCTTGCTTCAGCTTCCTGAGTGCTGAGGTTATAGGCATGTGGCCCTATAGCTGGTTGACAAGCTCCTTTACTCTTATGTATTTGGAGAATGGATGTGGGGTGTAATAAAAGTGTGTGGAGTCTGAAAGGCTGGAGAGATGGCTCCATGGTTAGGAGTGCTTGCTGCAGTCATGAGGACTGCAGTGTAGATCCCAGCACTCAACAAAACCAGTCAGCTGTGATGCACATGCCTGTGGCCACAGCTCCAGAGATGGAGACAGGATTTCTGTGGTGTGCTGACATCCAGCCTAGCTGAGAAAACAAGGACCCCAGGGCCTACCTCAGAGAGATCTGCAGTCAGAGGAGTTCAGCTGGCTGTCTTCTGGCCACACATACACACACACATATTCTCAACAAAGTCACAGAAACACATACAAACGAACAAACGAGCCTATCCTTAAAACAAGAAGAAAGACTGAAGCTGGGTGGGACTGTGCATGGCAATAATCCCAGTACCTGGGAGTGGGAGGCGAAGGCAAGAGGCTTACTCTGAGTTTTTTGTTTGTTTTGTTTTGTTTTTCGAGACAGGGTTTCTCTGTGTAACAGCCCTGGCTGTTCTGGAACTAGGTACTAGCTCTGTACCTTGAACTCACAGAGATCCGCCTGCCTCTGCCTCCTGGGAATAAAGGTATGCTATGCCACCCTGGCTGCCTTGAGTTTTAAGCCCACCTAGACTGCACATGAGTTCCCAATCAGCCAGAGTTTTATCGTGACATCCTGCACTCTCCCCAAACCAAACCACAAAACAAATATCATCCTCCCTAAAAGAATAAAAGTGGTATTTTATGGGTAAAACCAATATTTACATACTAATATTTTTCTTACCATTCATTAAATTTTTCCTATGCTCCTGAATCTTGTTTGTCTAAATGAATAAAGAATAGTCCTTCATTCTCATGTCACCTTTTTTACATGGAAAAATATGCAAAATTGACATTATAAAAATGTTTTTAGACTTTTTCATATTTTACATAATATACATGTTAGTTTTATGCTTTGGGGGTTAAAAAAATCATTTTCTTCCACAAGTTTCAAACCGATTTTATTTTATACCTTTTGTGTGGGGGCATACATGTATACATGTCTCTGTCTGGGTAGGTGTCTGCCTCCTGACCCCTGGGATTGCAGGAGTGGACCCAGCTTGGCTTTTTATGTGAGTGCTGGGGACCACAGCTTGTGTGGGAAGCACTTTACTGACTAAGCAGCTTTCTAGCCTCTCCTCTTGCTTCCTTGGTTTCTATTCTTTAGAGCTAGAAATCCAGGAGGTACTCTTCACTCTTCCCGCCCCTCTCTATCCAGAGCTCCTTTAGAGAGTCTTCCCAGTAGCTAAGTCGAAAGGTTTTCATTTCTTCCACCTGCTTCAGGCAGCTGTCCTTGTGGTCTGGATTACCACAACAGACAGCATTCTTGGAGCTGATAGCCTTAGGACTGCTTTTCAATATGCCTGGGGCAGAGGCTCTTTTCCTGGCTCATTATGGGGGAATACTACCTCAGAGTTCATTCAGATCCCTGTCACCACCTTCTAATGATACTGGGAGCCATTAATACTTTTTTAAATTTTTTTTTTATTTTTTTATTTTTTTTAAAAAGGGAGAGTTCTGTTTTTTTTTTTTTTATGTGTTTAATATGTATACAATATTCTGTGTGTATGCCTGCAGGCCAGAAGAGGGCACCAGACCTGTGAGTCACCATGTGGTTGCTGGGAATTGAACTCAGGACCTTTGGAAGAGCAGGCAGTGCTCTTAACCGCTGAGCCATCTCTCCAGCCCCCAATACTTTTTTTTTTAAAAAGTGAGATGTCATCTCCATGTCTGCTTTTATAGCATACTCTTCTGCTTCTGCAGGTTAAAATGCTCTGCCTCCAAATTCCCCCTCAACATTTCCTTAATCTATTCCAATTGAGATAAAATACTATGAACTGGAATGCTTTCATAATTCACATTTATATTTTTATGGTTCTGGGGACTCGGAAGCCCAAGAATAAGTGTCTCTGGAGTACCTGCTTCCTGATTCACACATGGCTGTCATCTGTCTCCTTACATGGCAGAAAAGACCAGGGGGCTCTCTAGGGTTTGTGTGTTTGTTGTATAACTTTTCCTGGGAGATGTGAACAAATGCTTGAAAAGCCAATCTGGGGCAGCCATGATGGCAAAGGATGCTTCTACCCAAGTCTGATGTGGGAAATCAGTGTGCTAACTGGGGCCGCTCACACGAGGACAAATGAAAGGTTACTTCTCGGAGCGGCTGCATGACAGAAAAGCTCATCACGGCATAGGCGATGGCCTCGTGCTCTGTACCCGTTCACAGCAGAGCTGCGGTGGAGTCTCCTCTGTCTGCAACCAGTACTACTTTTATAACCCGAGGAGGAGACTCATTTATCCTGCAGTTTCTGGAGCTTTTGGGAGACTTGTCTTTACTTGTGAGTCTTCGGGGCCTCATCTCCTAGAGGAAGGGAAAGGATGTTTGGAGAGTTCTACTCTCAAAATCTAATTACTCCCAGTACTTTTGCATTGGGGTTAGAACCTTAACATAGGAATGAGGGATTGTGCACTCTTTGCCTTATAGCATGGTGCCAGACTACACTCAGAATATCCGTGAACATTCGTTACGTGCTAGACAAAGTCAGTCTCCATTGTGTAGCCTACTACTTCCTCTTACATAGGCCTTGCTCCTTCACAGGCCTTCCCTTCATCTTCTCTGTTGACATTTCCCCTGACAGGCCTTTTTCCTCTCTACAGCCTTGGTATCTACTTGTCCTGACAGGCACCTGCCCTTAACTTCTGAATGTTACTCAGGTCTCAGTTTACATAGCACTTCCTCCAGGAAGACTTCCCTGACCTTCCTAGTCTGGCCTAGGCAACCCCACAGTTCCTATTGCACCTCTTAGGCAATGGATCACATGCACTGTCACTCTGTGTCCTGCCTCAATGGTAAGTTCTGTTTCCACTACAGCCTTTAGTATCAATTAGCAAGATCTCTGTCATGTGATAAATGTGTACATTTTCCAAATAGAAGTGGTGTGGTGGCTCATGCCTATAATCCCAGCACTTGGGATTATCTGAAGACCACAAAGGAAGGCCCTGGTCAAAAAGGAAAAAAAAGAAAGAAAAAAAAAAGAAAATAAAGGTCTCTGTCTAAAAATGTTGTTATATAGTCTGTTCAACAGTTTAGAGTAGGGGCTATATTAAAATTTTTTAATAGCAATAATCAACTTAGAAATGACCCATCTCCCCTCCTTAAAAATGACTATTTTTTGTGTGGGTGTGGGCATACCACATACATGTCAGAGGACAGCTTACAGGAATTAGTTCTCCCCTTCCACCATGCAGGTCCTGCTGATTAAACTCTGGTTGTCAGCCTTGGTAACACAAGCCTTTACCAAGTGAGTCATATCATGGGCTAGTCTCCCAATTTTTCCAATAATATTTATTGAATGTCAATGTGAAAGTTGAAGGAAATATTGAGATAAAAATAAATGTGAACTCTGAAATTGAAATAAGAATTATTAATACCATTTTAAACCCCAGAGCTTTAGGTGTACCTGGATGGGAAAGAGCCCCTGGTTAAGCCCTGTTGAGACTGGCGTTTGTGCTGATTCTCTTGGCCATCTTCTTTAATCATCAGTTAGAATTCCAATCTCATTGCAAGAGCTCTGGAAAACCATTAGAAATATGGATGATCTGAGCCCCATGTCCCCTCATGTACACCTAAACATAAAGTCCTTGACTTTGGTGCAGTGAGCTTAATTGAACGAAGTAAAAATACAGCATTTAAAAGAAATTATTGCATCAGATGTGGTGGTGCACACCTTTAATCCAGCACACAGGAGCAGAGGCAGGTGGATCTCTGAGTTCCAGGCTAGCCAGGAATACACAGTGATACCCTGTCTCAAAGAAAAGAAATTATTGACCATTTATGACATATATACACATCATTAATAGAAAGTCAGGATGAGCTTTAATCATACAGAAATGATTTACCCACAAAGGTTTATTT